AAAAAAAAAAAAAAAAAAAAAAAAAAAAAAAAAAAAGCAGTAGCAGTAATAGTAGTAATAGTAATAATATATACATAGTACTGTCTTTATAAAGATGCCCCCCACTCACTCACACATGAGAAATTACTGCATTCCTTTGGAGGAATTTTTTAAACTTCATGGACCTCACAACCTAGGTAACTGATCAGATTTCCCTTTTCCCATTGGCTACCAGGAAGCTCAGGGGTAAGTTCTGCCCCTTTCCTTAGCAAATGGCAGTACTTGTTGGTTCATTTTCCACTTTACCTGATGCTCAGAGAGCTCTCTTGCCAAATGTCATGGACCTTTGTCCGTCACCTGAAATCCTGTCTGGGATGAGATGGGGGAGAAGCCAATAAAATGATCAACTTTCCTAGATACAGACTGAGAGAAAGAATTTGTTGAAAAAAGAATGAGGTGTAGCTGGAACTACTGTGTCTCCCTAAGGAAATCTTGCCCTTTCTCTCATTCTCTGGGGATTTTATTCCTAGACGGTGCATATCTACTTTGTTTCCTTGATGACAATAAGTTGCTTGGAAGTAAAGTCTGGATTTGCATCTATTTGGGGGTCCCCAGCATCCAACAGAAGCTGGCACACAGAGGGCCTCAGGGAATATAGAAAGGATGGATGATGCAAGGAAGAAAGAAAGGGAGGGAGGGAAATATGGGTATGAAAATCTATGTAAATCATGGGTGAGGGAGCAGATAAATTCATGAATAACTAAGTGAATTCTCATTGACTCCTCACAGCAAATGTACAGTAGGTATTAGTATTATCATGATTTTTTTCAGGTGAGGAAGCTGAAGCTTGGAGGGGTGAGTGAATGAATAAGTGATGGAGTGAATGGGAGAGTGAGTGGGTGAAAAGGATGGATGGATGAGTGGGTGGGTGAGTTTCCGTGTGTGTTTCCAGGATAGGCAGCCCTATCCCTGCCCTTGTGTGGTCCCACCCCTGGAGGGTCCCTCCTGGGTTCTCAGTCCTCACCCCTACCCACCCCCATCAAGGAGCACCGGTCCAGGCCAGCAAAGTTGCTGAGTATTTATTTGGTCCCAGGAGCAGTGCAGGAATCAGACCGGGGACAGGAGTGGGTGATACTGTGCAGGAAAAGGGATACTGGGAGCCAAGGGGATAGTAGGCTGGGATCACTGATTGTCAAAGCAGAGGGCAGGACCCTGGCATGGCAGGAGCCCAGACTGCTCCCCTCCTCCAGGGGTCCCTGGGGCTTTTGGGCATGTGCCATATTGGGGGAGTTGGCAGGTTATCATGA